GGTGGGATCTGGCAGCAGCAGGACCTGCCAGCACTGATGGGGGGAGACAGAAAACACAGAACAATTTGCCAGTTTTTAAGAAAAAGTCAGGAGTCTGCAGCAGGGCTTAAATCCAGGGCATCTGCTCGCCCTGACTAGGGTGATGATCAGCAGGCAAAACAGCAGGTCCCACAGGCAGCCCCCAACCCCTGAATCTCATCCCCTTTTGCAGCCTCTCAGGTAGGGAAGACGCACCTTCTCCAGGCACTGGCCACCCACACAGCCCTGGCAAGTGGGAGCAGCCCCCTGAATCCTGGCAGTGGGGAAACCCTCAGTCCACTCCCACCCCCACTGTAAGTCCTCTCCTCACTGGGGTATTCTTTTTCTGGCAGGGCCTGGATCTGGCTCCTAACCCAGCTACCAGTCCTGATTTTGCCCTTTGGCCCCTCTCCTGGCCCTGCAGCCAGCTGCGTGATCTCCCCACCCATGCAGTCAATTTGACCCCTACACAGACTGGCTGTGTCTAGACTGGCTGCTTTTCCAAAAAAACTTGCCAGCTGTCTACACTGGCCGCTTGAATTTCTGGAAAAGCACTGACGATCTCATGTAAGATTGTCAGTGCTTTTACAGAAATACTATGCTGCTCCCGTTCGGACAAAAGTCTTTTTCCGAAAATCTTTTGCGCAAAAGGGCCAGGGTAGACAGCAGAGATTTGTTTTCCGCAAAAAAGCCCCGATCACGAAACTGGCGATCGGGGCTTTTTTTGTGGAAAAGCGCATCTAGATTGGCCATGGACACTTTTCCGCAAAAAGTGCTTTTGCGGAAAAGCGTCCTGCCAATCTAGACGTGCTTTTCCAAAAATGCTTTTAATGGAAAACTTTTCCGTTAAAAGCATTTCCGGAAAATCATGCCAGTCTAGATGTAGCCACTTTGTCTCCCCCCCCAGTTTCACGCATCAATTTCCCTCCATGAACAAACTTTACAGCAGGGGTAAGGAACCATTTTTTGCATTGGGACCCACAGAAAAATGTCTGGGGCTGCACACAAGTGAGAAAAAAAACCCCTCACTGACATGGCTCCTGACTGAGAAGCAGAAAGATGCTCCCCACATTCCCCTTGTACACCAGAACCAAGGGGGCCCAGCCTAATACGTTTTGTGTGCTCTATCCCCAAGTCAAGTGGCAAAGGGGCTAGAAAGCCAGTGCAGGGTCCACAATGCTGAGGAGGGTCCCTGAGTGTTGGGGAGGGGGGACCCTGGCAAGCCAGGGGCCACATTTGACCCCCATGCTGTAGATTTCCCACCCCTGCTTTATAGTGTGAGCCAGTCCGCTGTAAGCAGACACAGAAGCGGATCAGCGATTCTTTAGCTCCTAAAACCAGGTCTGGCAGTGGCAGTGCGCGGCAGGGGCTGTATCTAAAACATTTCCCTGAATCCAGCCCCTTTAGCAGGCGACTCCACCTTACCGGGCAGGGAAGCGCTGCCTTGGCCAGTCCCTGGGGAACATTGTGCCAGTCAGATCCCAGCCCTGGGAAGCGGCCTCAGATGCCCCCCGGGAAACACCCACATCTGTCCCACTGGCCGGTTTTGCAAACACTGCAGACGGCTCCTTCGATTCCATCCTCCCCCTAGCCTGGGTTCCCCTCTGCCCCTCGCCCTTCACCCGCTCCGGCTCCGGACCCCGCACGCACCGGGCCGTAGAGGCACCAGCAGCTGGTCTCAGAGTTCGCTCCTTAGGGCGCGCTGCGAAGGCGCCCCAGAGCGGAGCATGCGCAGTAGC